GGCAAGACAGCTGGGTGGATATGCAAGGCAATGCAAATTAGGATCCCCAAGAACCAACACATAAAACTTGGAAGCTCTTAGCGTTGTAATAATAATGTGCACCAATGATAACCTCTGCTGTGCTAGCTCTCATAAAACGAACACAGGGAAATAACTCACCATTTCATTTGCTATTATAAAGACAGTTTATTATTATTTCACAAAACCCTTAAACTTGCATTAAAATACCACAGTACATTTTCAGAAGCTAAGATGTGGAATTAACGAAGACACAGAAATGTGTACTTATTCAGGTTAAAGGACAGACTTATTTTTAAAGCAAAGAATCAAATGCATGGCTAATACTTTTTTTATATTACTAATATAGTTACCCCTTATTTATAGACAGGACAGCCACTGTGAGATTATCCCAATCGTTTGGTTTTTAAATCTTGGCTAAGCCTTCACTTTGAGTGAGTCAGAACCACTCTTTTCAACTAACCAGTGCTAACCAGTGCGAATCACCAAATTTAGCGCCAACCCAAGCCCCAACTTCCCCTACCCCAAATCTAATAAAGGTAAATAGGCTTCAAGAAAAATACATGTTGTTATTTCTCCAATTTGGATTTCCCATGCCAGGCTTTCCGTAGCATAAGGGGAAAATTAGAGAATTAATTATGTATCCTTGGGACTAAAGAGGAATAATCACAGAGAATTGGTTCCTTAAAGGAAAAAGGGTGCAGGATTTGGAGTCAGAAGACACACATTTGAGTGTTAGTGCCAACACTTAACTTCCAGTCTTACTTAAGTTCCTGAACACTGCCTGCAGCGTCCCCGGCTTCCTCTTCAGTTTGGTGGCTGTTGTCACCCACCTGCCCCACATGGTTGGCCTAAGTTATCAGACACACCATGTATTTGAACGTGTTGTAGAGAGTCAGATGAGCTAACTATATGGATATGAAAGAAGACTTCCAAGCATACCTTTTGAGGGTTCTGTGTATGGATACTTAATACCCTGTAACACAGCTCTTGACTGACTGTCCCAGGGATTTTTATAAAAAGAAAATAAGAACTCAACATTTTACAAATCACCAGCTCTTACTGCTGTGTTTATGACTCCTTAATGTTTCTTTGATGTTGCATATGACTACTATGATTTTGTGTTCCATAATAGGAAAGTACAACCATTCACAGCTTTTTCTTCCCATATATTTCTTTAGTTACAGTGGCTGAATGACCCTTGGATTTAACTATGCTAACCAGTCCATGGACTTCTTCTAAGGGATTTAAATTCTTACAGAGCACAGTCTTTTCACTCTTGATTACAGAAAGAAAAAAAAAAAAACCTCATCAGAATTAGAGGAAACAATGTGTCTATTTTCTCATGAAACCCAACTGTGCAAATAGATGACTCTCTATCTCATGCAGTCTTCTCTCCTAAGCTCCAGATGCATATACCCACCATCTCTCCACTTAGCTTCATAGATGCATTAAGGTTTCATAGATACATTAAGCTCAACATGGCCAAATCAAACTCATCTTCCCTCTCCAGATCATCCCTCCCCGAAAATGTTTCCTTTCTCAATAAACAGCCCTATCATCTTTCCAACTGGTCAAGTCAGTAATATCAGAGTCATCTGTGATTCCTTTTCCTTTCTAACCCTCTACCCGCACCTAAGTCCCAAGAACTGCTTATTCTACTCCCTAAATAGCTCACAATATTGTCCACTTCATACCATTTTAGCTGCCACCACCCTGGCCCAGCCCACCCCGTCTCTTACCTGGAGTGTCCTAATAGCCTCCTAACAGATCTGCTTGGATCCACTCTGACCCTTCCCTAACTGGTTCTCCACAAGGCAGCCACAACCATCATGGCAGTTTATTTAAAAAAACCACTTTTTCCAAACTCCTATTTAACAGAGGCTGCAAAGGACTCCCATGATCTGGCCCCTGCCTACTTCTCTAACCTTGTCCTCCTCCTGCATTCTATGATCTAGTTACATGAGTAAAAGAGTGCTAATTTTAACCCAATATCTGGTTTCCTCTTCCTCAGTAATTAAATTCTGCCTTTTGGCTGAATACATGGCCATGGAATATGGGTATTCTCCAGCCTCCCTTGCAGCTAAGTGGCCATGTGACTAGGTTTGGGCCAATAGGATGTGAGCCATGCCCTTAAGAAAGGAAGAGTGACCCTTTCCTTCCATTTTCCCTTTTCTGCTGGTTGGAATGTGGAAAGTGACAAATGAAGGAGTGATTTGGATCATTAAGTAGAAGGTGCCTGTGAAGGAAGATAGCACGATGTATACGGCCAGGTCCCTGATGACTGTAAAACTGTCATATCAACCCTGGACTGCCTACGTGGACGTTTTAGATAAGAAGCTTCTTTATTGTTTAAACCATCATTGCACTGGATTTCCTGTCCCTTTTTTTTTTTTTTTTTAAGTAGTTTTGTCTAACCCTAATACAGCATACCATTCTCCAGATTCTCCATTCTCTGGACATTGGACTCACGTACAAGACATCCTCTGCATGAAACACTGCTAACGCCTTCTGCTCTTTGTCTGCTTTCATCCTTCAAATCTGAGCCGAAACGTTACTTTCTCAAGTAAGTCTTCCTTGACTTCCTAGATGAGGTTAAATACTCCTGCCATTTTTTTTCCTTACACTTTCCCTTGGAAAATACTCACCATGCCTATAATTGCTGGGTTAATGTGAGTCACTTTCAGTACTACATACTCTTTAAGAGCACGTAATCTGCTTTGTCCACTATCATCCAAGTGTTTGGCACTCAGTATACGCCCAACAAATATCTGCTCAATGAACAAATAAATATCATAGCCTTTGTGTGATTTCTGGTCCACACCTCAAGGATTACTTGGCCTTACATTACAGGATTCCTGTAAACTCTACCTGTAGCTCTATTCCTGTCAGACAATGTAAATAGTTTCTCTCCATTCTCTTTTGACAACTCTGAAATGTGCCAACTCTTTCAATAGATGTGTTGAACTTTCTTTCACACATCTTTCAAATGTGTTCAACTCTTTCAACTCTTACACAGCTCTCTCTGGCAACACTTCATTTTCTCATAATATACCTAGGACTAGAGTGCAAAGTATTATGGGTACACTTGTAATTAAAAAAAGAAATGGAGACCATTCACTAATATGACCAACGTTTTCAAGAGTTGGGATGCCTTACAGGTATTTTTTAAAGGGAAATGTAAGAAACATATACAAACCAGATTATCTGAATTCTGGCCACATACAGGAAAACATTCTTAAAATATTGTAAAAGCCTCTGGTTTTAAAGTGTGCATCACTTTTTAATGGTACTTCAAGTAGCTGTCAGTTTATTGCTTTATGTACTCACCCTTCATTGACACTGAAGATTCTACATGGCTCATTCATTTTCAAAAATTAAGCATCTTTTTGTTATAACATTGTGGAGTTAAAGAAACAGGGTCCCAAGAAGGAGGTAGTGGGATATATGACAAAGAAGCAAACAAACAAAAATCAAGAGATCTGAAATGACAATCTGCTTTGCCAATGATTCACTGGGTGACCTTGGATCAGTTCTCTTAACTCTAAAAGGAAGTGTTCAGTACAGATATCTCCTTAGATCCCTTGCAAAGAAAATATTTTGTTGCCACATCAACTTGCTGTTAATGATTTAATAAAGATGATATTGCGAATGAAGTCAAAAACTGTATAATTACAAGTATTCACAGGAAACCTGGTATTTGCCTATCAGTTTTAAGTTCTATTGGGGTTTAAGACTGTCTAAAATATGGTTCTTCGAGGATCTTTTAAAAACAAAACGTGTAGTTTGGAAATGCTAGTTATTGGCGTGATGAGAATGGCTTTTAGAATGTGAGTTTTTCCAGGACATGATATTCTCCTCCCACATACATTAGGCGCCCACACTGGCTTCATTAGGTGCTCTGCAAAAAACACACCGGCCATACAACAGAATGGTTTTCACTACCACTCCCTCCTTGATCACTACACCTCCGTTTTCCTTAAACTGCTCTGGAGCCTGATAAGGAAGCTCCAGAGAGCAGCTGATCTACCGTCAGGCAACTGCACAGATGTCTGTACTCCGACAACATGCAAAGACATCTGGGCTTGCCCCGTGCTTTCAGAGCAAGGACGGCCCCAGTCCAGGCTTTCCACACTCGTATTATATATAATAAAGGTTAAAGAGGTTCGCAGCCGGCTCCGGTTCTGCACAGGCTGGAAGCGCCCTCAAGGAAGTCCTGGCACTCCCGTGCTCCTATTCTCGGAACCTGCGGACCCTACGGGATCCTGCCTGGCTTTTCCGAAGCCACCACTTCGCGCCCCTGGGGGCGACCACCCGGCCCCCGCCCTGCCGTCGCCAGCCAGCCCTGACCTCCTCGAACTGCTCGCCCGAGCAGCCGGCGCCGCGAGCCTCCAGCAATTCCCGGAACTGCTCCAGGGTGACGGACTCTTCGCCGCGGCCCAGCCGCTCTTCCAGCCAGCGCAACAGCGCGCCGTGGTGCCTGGACACCAGAGACTCGCAGGGTGGCGCGGGCCGCAGCGCAGCCGCCGCCTCTCGCAGCCGGGCCGGCTCCAGCAGCGCCGGGGCCGGGGGCAGTGCCGGGGCCGCGGGGCCCGGTCCCGGGGTCGTGCCCGAGTCTGCGGCCCAGTCCTGGTGCGGGCCCCAGCCCTCGCCCCCGGGGGCTGCCGCTTCGTCTTCACTGCTGTGACTCGGAGCGTTCCCCATGGGGTCTCCGTCTCCGGCGCCCGGCTCTGCCGCCGCCTCCGCCTCCCCGCCTGGACCGGTCAACCTCCGACGGCACCTGGCGGGCGGGGACTGGGCGGGGACGGGGAGGGGACGGCGGCGGCAGCTGCGGCTTCCGGCTTCCTCGCCGTGCAGCGAGGATTGCTGTCGCTAAGGCGCCGTCAAGCAGACTCCGCCCGCTGTCGTGAGAGGACACGCGAGGACAGCCTCAGCAAAGGGTGGAACCCGGAGTGCGGAGAGGGCGCGGTTGTCATATTGTCTGCGCCATCCCGCGGCCTCCTTTGCCACCATCTTTATTGGGGGCGGACGCCCTGCAAGCCAAGGCTTTCCGCTGCTCAGTTCCTCGGTATCCCTCCACGTTCACTAGCTGTGCTGAAAACGCACAAGAAAGAGTTCGAGCCAGGGCGTGAGCTTTCGGCAGACTTTTTCCACTCAGTCCTCCGCTGTCCCCTCAGTAACAGGCGGACAACGGGGAGAGAGCGTAGCTCCGGGGACGTCGCGGCCGGCTTCTCAGCCATCTTAGTTGTGGGCGGAGAAGCGGCAACTTTGGAAGAGCGAGGGGTGTGCGGCCGCCTAAATGCTGCTGCTCGGCGGGCGTGGACTCTTGCTGGGCCTGATCGCAGCGGCGGCGGCTGTGATGGCAGCACGGCTGATGGGCTGGTGGAGTCCCCGCGCTGGCTTTCGCCTTTTCATGCCCGAGGAGCTGGCCCGCTACCGCGGCGGCCCCGGGGACCCGGGCCTCTACTTGGCATTGCTCGGCCGCATCTACGATGTGTCCTCTGGCCGGCGGCATTACGAGCCAGGGGCTCACTATAGCGGCTTCGCAGGTATTAGCGAGGTGGCTCACGCCCTTTCTTGCTTCTGTGCGGGCCCGTAGCCGCCTGGGTGTCGTTCACTCATTCATTTATTCATGTATTCATCTGCTTTTTTTTTTTTTTCTCTCTCCATATTCATCGGACCAGCGTCGGGGCTGGGCTCGGCTGCATCATCCTCTGGTCTGTCTGACTCCTGTGGTAGTGTGGCCAGCAGTTACCGGCCTCTATCCTCCCTGTCGTTCCCCATCGTTCTTCCTAACTTAGTTCGGGAAACCCATCTCCGGCCTCTCGTTAAGTTACCCATTACCCACCAGCAGAAGCCCCTGGATGGATTCCTGCTTTGTGCCACACGGTGTGGCTCTCAGAGCACAGAGATGAATGAGACACCCTGTTCCTGCTCTGAAGAGTTCCCTTGCTGATTCCTATATGTCCCGATCCTAAGTAACCTACCTTTCCCCCGTCCCCAAGTTTCCCCTAAAAATAGTACATTTGGTTTGAGTAATTCTTGCTTCTAGTACAGATGCACTTTTCTGCCTTTCTTTTAAAAAGATTATGAGGTTAGAGTGCAGGGAAGGGGTCTGGCCACCTTTACCGTCCTTCAATACTTGGAACAAAGCTGTGCATATGTTAGGCCTTAAAGAATACTTGTCAAATGAAGTTTATTCTGCTGTCCCTATTTTCCACCAGAGGGGATTCAAGGATGTAATTTGCTTCAAGCCCTCACAACTAAGTACTGACAAGAATTGGATTAGGACCACTAGCCTATTACTTTTAGAGATGTTGTCTTACCATCCCAGAGGAATCACCATCTCCTAGGTTAAAAAAGAAAAAAAACAAATGCAGAGCAAGCTTAAGGCCAGTGACTAGGCTAATATTGAATAAGCATTTTCTGTGTGTCGTTATCTGAGAGGAATTAAGAAGCTGCCTCTGGTACTTAAGTACAAGTCATTTCCCTGTCTTTAGGGAGAACTTCAGAAACAGAAGCATTGACGGAGAAGGAATTAAGTTCAGTTGGTGTTGCCAGGCTCCTGGAACAGTCCAGCAAAGGAAGGGACTAGCAAGGGCTACACAGTGAGTTGGTTACAAGTGGAACTGGGATTGGAATCAAGGGTTTTATTTACCTGCCAAGTGAGTGCACTTTTGCGTGCACTATCCTGCCACTGTCATGGCTATATGCACAAGTGTGAGCATACAACCTTCCATTTCTGGGGTGCTTTTTCTTTAGCAATATGCTCTACTGTCTGAGTGCCTTTATGACCGATATTCATTCAACATCCGTTTATCGACCACTACCATGCAGCTTGCCTTGTGCCAGGTGCTGAGGAATCAAAGATTATGACGTGCTCCCCACCACCCGCACAGTCTAGCAGGGAGGCAGATTTATTAAGTTGATTCATTTATTTGTTCATTCAGTCAATATTTTTTTTATTAAGATGTAATTCACATAATTAAAAAATCCACCCTTTTAATATGTATAACTCAGTGGTTTTTAATATAGTCAGAAAGTTGTGCAAACATCACCACTAATTCCAGAACATTTTTATCACCCCCTGCCAAAAAGAAACCCCATATCCATTAGCAGTCACTCCCTATAACCTCCTACTCCCCAGCCCCTCACAACCTGTCTCATCATTTGCCTAGTCTGGGCATTCCATATAAAAGGAATCATACATGTGGTCCTCTGTGACTGGCTTCTTCCACTTTGCATAATGTTTTCAAGTTCATCCATGGTGTATCAGTATAAATCAGTACTCCATTTCCTTTTTATGGCCAAATAATGTTGCATTGTATAGATACACCACATTTTGTTTATTCATTTTGGGTTGGAATTTGGGTTGTTTCCACTTTGGCTTATTATGAATTATGCTACTGTGAACATCAATGTGCAAGTTTTTGTGTGGACATACGTTTTCAGTTCTCTTGGGCATTTACCTAGGAGTGTAATTGCTGGGTCGTAATGGTAACCCTATGTTTAACTTTTCGAAAAACTGCCAAATTGTTTTCTAAAGTGGCTGCACCATTGTACAGTCCCACCATCAGTGTATTAGCATTGGAGTTTCTCACATCCTCACGAAACTGTCTTTTTTTTTTTTTGTCTCTTTGATTATAGCAATTTTAGTGGGTTTGAAATGGTGCCTCATTGTGATTTTGATTATTTGCATTTTTCTAATATCTGATGATGTTGAGATCTTTTCATGTGCTTGTTGATCATTTGTATATCTTCCTTGGAGAAATGTTTATTTAAATCCTTTGTCCATTTTCTAATTGGGTTGTTTGTTTTTGTTTTTTTATTGTTGAGTTGTAAGAATTATTTATATATTCTGGATACTACACCCATATCAGATATATGCTTTGCAAATATTTTCTCCCATTCTGTAGATTGTCTTTTCACTTTCTTGATAGTATCCTTTAAAGCACACATTTTTGAAATTTTGATGAAGTCCAATTTATGTTTTTCTTTGGTTGCTTGTGCTTTTGGTGTCTTATCTAAGAAACTATTGTCTAATTCAAGGTCACAAAGACACCTGTTCTAAGGGTTTTAGAGTTTTATTTCATACATTCAGGTCATTGATCTATTTTGAGTTAATTTTTATGTGGTATGAGAAAGGGATCTAATTTTATTCTTTTTTTTAAAGATTTTATTGGGGAATTGGGGGAGGGGAACAGTGTTGGGGAATCAGGGAAGGAGAACAGACAAGTTGCTGTCCTTTTGTTCTTCAGTCTAGTTGTGAAGGATGTCGCTTCACTGGCCCATGTTGGTATTACCTTGCGCTCTTCCCAGGTGAGGCAGTTGCTTGCCGGCCATTGGGCAGCTGCTCACGGCAGCTCACGAAAGCTCACACCAGCTGCTGGCCAGCCCCACCATAGCCTATGCCATCACCAGCAACACACAGCAGCCCAGCTCCAGGGCGAGCTGTTGTTCACCATCTTAGTTGTAGAGGGCGCAGCATCACTGGCCCTCATGTGGGATCTGAACCGGGGTCCCGCTACTCAGAGACGGCGTCCCAAGCCAACTCTAAACCAACACACCACTTGGCTGGCCCTAATTTTATTCTTTTGAACATGGCAATTCAGTTATCCAAGCACCATTTGTTGAAAAGACAATTCTTTCCTCTTTGAATTCTCTTGGAACTCTTATTGAAAATCAATTGACTGTATGGATTTCATTCAGTCAATATTTATTGAGAATTTACTAAAGATCAGGCACTACCAGACACTGAGTAACCAATACTAAAGGAGTTTGGTGTTTCCCTGATAAAACTTGCAGACCAGTAGAAAAGACAAACATTGAATAGTTATCACGTAAACCATTAATGAATTATTATTGTGATGGGTGTTAAAAGGAAAACATACTGGTATTATTATCAGAGGTCCTAACCTAGGAGGGAAAAATGGAAGGGAGCACAGTGGCAAGGCAAGGTTGGTGGCAGCTAGGGCAGGGCCCTGAATGGCATGTTAAGGAATTTGGACGTTATCATAGGGCAGAAGGAAGCCACTAAGAATTTTTAAGCAAGAGAATGACATGATCAATTTGTGTTTAAAATATTAGTCTAAGTGTTGTATGGAAAATGGATTAGCAGGAAAAGACTGAATGTAGAGAGACCTACTAGGAGTTTACTGTGGTAGTTCAGATGAGAAACGATGGCAGCCCGGGCTTGCTTAGTGGTAGATGGGGAAAGGCAGACTGATACAAGGACTATTTAGGAAAGAATTATAGGACTTGGGGACTAATCAGATGTGAAGGATGAAGGCGACTTCAAGGACTACGTTTCTGGATTGAACAACTGGTTGATATTTACCGAGAGAGGGGATACTAGACTAGATGCCCGTTTCCTGAGGTTAGAGATGCTGATGACCATTAGCTCAGTGTGGACATTGTGAACTTGTGATGTCAGTAAGACATGTAAATGATGTTGAGTAGACAATTGGATATACAGGTCTGGAGCTCAAGAGAAATTTGAGCTAAAGATACAAATTTGGCAATCTTTGGCATCGAGACGGTATCTGAAACCATTGGAGTGGATGAGATTGTCAAGTGGATGGTGTGGATGGAGCAGAGGAGGTGGACAAGAATTGATCCAGGAGGCTGGTAGAAAATGAGCTACAGAATAGGAGAAAAACCAGGAGTGTAGGGTCAGGAACGCCAAGGAATGTGGTCCACTGGGCTAAATGTTGCTGAAAGTAAATGAAGAAATGTAACAAATGCCAAAATGTGTGTCCAAGATCCAGGCGCAGCATCTGTGACACAGGAGGTGGGGTTAGCTTTACTTGGGGCTGGAGAGTGGGGGTTTTCAAGAGATGCTTCTCAGAAAAAGGGATTATTGGGTTGGTATGGAGTTGGTGATTTCCAGGTTAACCTACT